GGCTTTTTTCTTTTTGCTTATGTGGTGCTGAGGAATTGAACCCAGGGCCTCATGCATACAAGGCAAGCGCTCTACCACTGAGCCAACTTCCTAGTCCCCGTTTTTGTTTTTTTTTTTAAACAGTAGGTAGGTGTTGCAAAAGAAGACATGCCTTCACACCCTGTGTCCTCCCTAGCAAAACTGGAGGAAAGGTGATGTGATACTCTTTTCCCACTAAATACTAAAGCCTTCCTAGCTGATGGAATCTAATAATAGAACCACAGACCTCTACAATGGAAACTATAGAACAGGGAAGAAAGATACTATATAGGACACTAAGATATGGGTAGACCCTCCATGATCATAGGTGAGCAGAATAAATACTGTCAAAATGGCTATATCACTGAAATGCAGTCACCATCAAAACTCCAATGACATTCTTTATAGAAGTGAAAAAAATCATCCTAAAATTCATACGGAAATACAAAAGACTTTAGAGCTGAGCAAAAAGAACATGGTGGATGCCAGTGGCTCATGCCTATAATTCTAGCTACTTTGGAGGCTGAGATCTGAGGATCACGATTCAGGAAAGCTTATTAAACTCTTATTTCCAGTTAACCAACCAAAACCCAGAAGTGGAGCAATGGCTCAATTGTTAGAGAGCTGTCCTTGAGCACAAAGCTCAGGGACAGTGCTTAGGCCCTGAGTTCAAGCCTTAGGATGAACACACATAAATATAATCACAAGTGTGTGTGCACGCATGCGCACACACCCACACCTACACCCACAGAGAGAACAATGCTGGGAGGTGCCAATACCTTACTTCAAACTAAACTATAGAGCTACAGTAACAAAACCAGCATGGTTCTAGCCCTTAAAGAGACACTGGCAAATAGAATAGAAGACCCCAAAATATTCCCAAGTACCTACAGCCATGTAATGCTTTTTATTTGTTTATTCATTTGGTTAGGGAGTCTGGTCTTTGAACTTGGTGGCAAATGCCACTTGAGCCACACCTCCAGCCCAATAGCACCTAATTCTTGACAAAGGTGCTCAAAACATATATTGGAAAAGAAGGTCTTTTCAACAAGTGGTACTGGGAAAACTAGATATCTATATGTAGAAGACTGAAACTAGGAAGTGGAGATGTGGCTCAAGTGATAGAGCAGCAGCCTTGAGCAAAAAAGCCAAGCAAGAGCATGAGGCTTTAAGGTCAAGCCCTTGTACCAGTGCATGTGTGGACACACACACAAAAGACTGAAACTAGATCCCTATATCTCACCATGTACAAAAATAAATTTTGAAATCCTGAAACTTTGAAAGTACTAGAGGCAAACTAAGATTAAACTAGACACAAATTTTCTGAAGAGGACTCCAGTAGCTTAGGAAGGAAGAGCAAGAACTGACTAATGGGATTGCATCAAAGCAAAAGAAACAATCAGCAGAGTGAAGAGCCCCACAGAATGAAGGAAAATCTTTCCAGATAGCCATCTAACAAGTGACTAATATCTACAGTACCTAAAGAACTCAAATCGCAAAAGAGCAAATTATTTATTTATTTTTTTTTTTTGGGTCCGGTTGTGGGGCCTGAACTCTGGGCCTGGGCGCTGTCCCTCAGCTCTTCAGCTCAAGGCTAGTGCTCTACCACTTGAGCCACAGCGCCACTTCCGGCTTTTTTCTTTTTGCTTATATGGTGCTGAGGAATCGAACCCAGGGCCTCAGGCTTGCAAGTGCTCTACCACTGAGCCACCTTCCCAGCCCGTAGAGCAAATAATTTAATCAACAAATGGGTAATGAAATCAGAAAGATACTTTTCAAATCAAGAGGTACAAATGGCCAATAAATACATGAATAACAGTCAACATCCTTAGCCATCAGGCTCCACTGAGGGTCCTCCCCTCCCCTGAGAATGGCTATCATCAAGAAAACCAGGAATACTGGCAAGGATATGTGTGTGGGGAGGTGTTGGGGAAGAACCCTTACTTGCTGCTGGTGATAATGTGAGTTAGTCCAGCCACTTTAAAAAAATTAAAGAATTCTCATATGATCTAGCTACACTGCTTCTGGGTATATACCCCAGCAAATCAAATAAAAATCAGCTTACTGTAGACATACCTACATATTCAAGTTTGTTGTCACACTATTCACAATAGCCAAATTATGGAATCAGCCTAAGGTGCCCATCAGATAAATGAATAAAGCATCACACACACACACAGGAGTTTTACTCAGCCATAAAAATGAAATTATGTCATTGGCAGGAAGATGGATGATGTGTTAGTTCTATTAAGTGACATAAGCCAGTGTCACAAGGATGAATGTTGCATGTTATCTAACCTGTGGACTCTGAAGGGGAGGGGGATGTGAAAGTAAAAGGGATACTTCTCTCCACCTGAAGGAGAAGGGGAAAGTCGAAGATGGCAGGGGTGTAAGAAAGTAGAGGGGTGAATATGATAAAAGTCCGTTATATGCATAATATGGAGATGTCACAATGAAACCTTTATATAGTTAGTGTACTATAATAAAGAATAACAGCATATTATCATCTCCTTTGCTAAATACATTGTAAAAATCCTACATTTATACATTGTGAGAAGTTATCAAAATGAAGAAATAGTTATTCTGAGTGAAAGAATGGAAACAATAATGAGTTGTTAAAATCAGTATTTCTTTTTCCCCTCCCTCCATCTCTCCCTCCCTCCCTCCCTCCCTCCCTCTCTCTCTCTCTTTCTTCCTTTCCTCCTTCCTTCCTTCCTTCCTTCTTTTCTTCTTTCTCTCTCTCTCTTTCTTTCTTTTCTTTCTCTTCCTTTTTTTCTTGCAGGTCTTAGGGCTTGATCTCTGGGCCTAGACACTGTCCCTGAGCAACTTTTCTTCAGGGTTAGTGTTCTAATACTTGAGTCACAGCTCCATTTCAGCTTTTTCTGTGATTAATTGGCAATGAGTTTTATGGACTTTACTGCTCAGGCTGGCTTCGAACCCCAATCCTCATATCTCAGTCTCCTGAGTAGCTAGGATTACAGGCATGACCCACCCATGCCCAGCAAGAATCAGTATTATTACATTTATGGGGTAGTATATTTTACTAATAGATGTAGTGTGATAAAATATAGAGGAATAGCTCAGTACTTCTGGGCTGTTGAGGGTAAGATAATATCATGTTAGAAAATACAAGGTCTACAAAAACTGCTAGGTTATAGCCTTGAGCACTTAAGTTGTATTGTTTTCTTCAAATTCCCAAATATCCCAATATTGGGAATCCTGCTCCCTTTCCTCTTATAGCTTTCATTCCCTCCTGACTTTTTCTTGTGGATCCTAGAACTTTATCCTTCTAGCTTAGTTCAGTATGGGGCTTTGCTGTAAGTAAGGAATGTGTCACTATCTGGTACTATCTATGGAACATTGACTTACCTGAATGATAGTAATTTCATCATCAGTCATTAGGCTTGAACTATAATATCAGATCTCTCCTGGGAACTGTAGTAATATCAGCTTGTGCTTGGGTCTTAACCTGCCAGCCCAACCTGGAGAATTTGGAATTGCTAGTCATCATAATTGTGTGAGCCAATTCCTTAAAATAGATCCCTTAAATTCTGTTCTCTTAGCTTTTTTTAAAAAAAAAATTTCAGGGGCTGGGAAGGTGGCTCAGTGGTAGAGCACTTGCCTTGCAATGCATGAGGCCCTGGGTTCGATTCCCCAGCACCACATAAGCAAAAAGAAAAAAGCCGGAAGTGGTGCTGTGGCTCATATGGTAGAGCGCTAGCCTTGAGCTGAAGAGCTGAGGGACAGCACCCAGGCCCAGAGTTCAGGGCCCACAACCGGACCCAAAAAAAAAAAAATTCACTTACCTGTATTTTTCAGCTCTAGAATTCATTTTGTTCCTTTTTATAAGTTCTCCATTATTACATTTATTCTGTTCTTACATCATTTGCTTGATGTCCTTAAGTACTTTCTGCATGTTTTCCATTAATTATTAAATTATTTAGTTATTAAGTATATATAACATAGTTCTTTAAAAGTCTTTCTCTACTTGGGTGCTGGTGGCTTATGCCTGTAATCCTAGCTACTCAGGAGGCTGAGATCTGAAGATCATGGTTCAAAGCCAGCCCAGGCAGGAAAGTCCGTGAAACTTTTATCTCCAATAAACTACTCAGAAAAAACTGGAAGTGGTGCTGTGGCTCAAGTGGCAGAGTTGCTAGCCTTGAGTACAAAGAGGCTCAGGGACAGTGTTCAGGCCCTGCGTTCAAGCTCCAGGACTGACAAAAAAAAAAAGTCTCTAGTATATCTATTATATCTATGACTCCTCAGAATGTTTTGTGTTAGTTTATTTTGTCTCTTTAGGCTATGTTTTCCTGTATGTGTTCTGAGTTTCTTGTTGGATATGTGAGGTCTTACAAACTTTTTGCCTGGGCTGGCCTGGAATCACAATCTGGGATGATAGGCACATACCACCATGTGCAGCTATTGGTGGCAATAGAGTTTTGCAGACATTTTTCCCCCTGCAAAAGTTTGTGATCTTTCCAATCCCCACCTCTCAAGTAGCTTGAATTACAGGCAGGAACCACCAGTGCCCAGCCTCCAACTTTTTATAAAGATTATCCCTTGTCATAGATGTTCATGATGTCTTGTTCTTTGTAGTCAGCTAAAAGAATGTTTTGACAGATTTCAGATTTCTCCCAATCTTTGCAGATTGTCTCTGTGCTATGGCAGTCTTTCAAGACTTGGCTTCCACTGGGGCTAAAAGGTCAGCCTCCCATGGAAGCTTAAGGTCTTGTAATGAATTTCTGATCATATGTCTTTTATCATTCCCTTGGCTCCACTCCTAATCTCTTGTCCCAGAGGGCTATGGTTCTCTAGTTTTCCTTGCAGATCTTATGGGCAGCAGGACCTTCTTTCCCATGTTAGTTCCAAGCTAAGTAAAGATGTTTGCCTTGTTGTATCATTCATTTAGCTACCCCTATGAAGGACAAAATAATTGTATACAATAATTTATAAATGTGTGTTCTGCTTCTTCGTATTTAAAGGCAGAAACTGAGATCAGATAGTGTCTCTTCAAGACCAAAATCACCAACCACCTTACTGGGGAGGACTGGGAGCAAGGGTGAGTGAAAAACTACGTAACCTTCACTTAGAATTTGAATATGAACATTTAAATTTTGATTGGGTGTTTGCTTGCCTCCTATCTGTGACTGTTTTCCATACTGACAAAGTTCTTTCAAATAATTTCTGCTTGTTTTTGTTGTTTGGTTTGTTGAGGGTTTTTTTTTTTTTTTTTAAGGAACTGGAATTTGAACACAATACTTGTCAGGCAGATGCTCTAACACTTGTGACACATCTTCAACTGCTCTCCCCTTCCTCCCCTCTTTTTAAATTTTTTTTTATTTTTGGTCAGTTATGGGGCTTGAACTCTGGGCCTGGGCGCTATCCGTCAGCTCTTCAGCTCAAGACTAACACTCTACCACTTGAGCCACAATGCCACTTCTGGTTTTCTCGTGGTTTATTGGAGATGAGTCTCATGGACTTTCTTGCCCGGGCTGGCTTTGAACTCAGATCTCAGCCTCCTGAGTGAGCTACTGGTACCTGACTCCTCTTTTTTTTTAAAAAAAACAAAAAACCAAAAAACTTTGTTTCTTTAAGGGAAGAGGTATCTGGAGCTTTCTAGTCCAGATTTTCACTGTTGTTACTCAATTCCTCTACTATTACAATGCATTGAGAATCTCTGGACTCTTTCCATTAGTGTAGCTGCCTTCTTGCTTTGCTTCCCAAGCCACTACTCATTTGTTGTCTTTTACATCAGTCATAGTCATGTTATCATCCTCAGGTTCACATGAGGAGGGGGCTGGAGTCGCTAAGCAGCACCAACCTTTGCAGAAGAGGGAGAGGAACGTGTGAAAACATACTCAGTGAAATATGAAGAGAAACCTGGGCACTGGTGGCTCATGCCTATAATCCTAGCTACTCAGGAGGTTGAGATGTGAGGATCATGGTTCAAAGTTAGCCAATGCTAACTTTGAAAGAAAGTCCATGACACTTTGTATCTTCAATTAACCATTTAAAAACTGAAAGTGGAGCTCAGGCTCAAAGTGGTAGACTACTAGTCCGGAATGAAAAAGTTTAGGAACAGCGTCCAGTCCCTGAATTCAATCCCTATGACCAACGGTAGGGAGGAGGTTGGGGGAGGGGAAGAGTCACAGTTCTGGCAACCCAACTGATTCATCTCCCTTGCATTGTAAACAAATGATTTTTTTACACAGCAATTTCTTATCTTTTTCTTCTTTTTTTCTTTTTCTTTTTTTTACCTTTCCTTCCTCCCTTCTTCACTCCCTCCTTCCCCCCCCCCCCCCTTTCTTTCTTTTTGTTGCAGTCCTGGGGTTTGAACTCAGAGCCTGAGCACTGTTTTTTGCTCAGGGCTAGTGCTCTGCCACTTGATCCACAGCTTCCCTTCTGGCCTTTTTGGTGTTTAATTGGAGATAATAATGTCACTGGCTTTCTTGCCCAGGCTTGGCTTCAAACTGTGACCCTTAGATCTCAGCCTTAGACTAGCTAATATTATAGATGTGTGCCAATGGCAACTGGCTCTCTTCGTATTTTTGACATAATAATCCAGATGACTGTCATAATAATAACTGAGTCATAATTTCTGAAATCCCCAAGTAAAACGCCTTCACAAAGGCTTTCATGTTTGTGAGTAAAGTCAACTGAGAAACAAAATAAACCTGGGTGTTATTAATTCCACCAGCTCCCTGAAGGTGGCAGCAGTATTCTATGAATTAGAACTGTCTACATGTCTTTCTTTTCCCCTTCAGATTTGGAGGAAAAATTTTCCAAGCAGAAAAGATAAAATGTTTTTCTGCATCCTTTTCTCCATTGATTATGATCTTTAAAACAATCGTTTATCAGTGTGATTGGTGAAAACTTTCATCTCAGCATTGTGTTAATTTGTATTTCTGTCATAAACAGAGAGGCTAAACCAATTTCTGCATGCCTCAAAGCTTTTCTTCTTTCCTGAATTATTTTTATATCCTTTACCTTTATGTTGAGATTTAATTTTGTGGCCTTTCCTTTTTTCTCATTATAAAAATAATACGTCTGCACCGTAGAGAGTCAACTGAACTTAAAGAAAATTTAAAGGGCCCACATGCATACTAACAAGAGACAGCAGCCTTGATGTTTTAGATACATTTTTACATTTTATGTTTTCTGCACTTTTGTTGTTCTTTACCTATTTCATGTTGTACATAATTTCAGTCTCCATCTTGTTTTGTTTATATAATTATATGGTGATATTTCCCATGCTATTATTAATGATTTTTAAGATGTCTTTAGTTTATGACTTTTGTTTTTTTTTTCTTTCTTTTGTCCAAACCAGGACTCCAACTGGCATTTGATGCTTATCACTCATTGGCAGGTGGCCTACCACCCGAGCCATTCCTCCAACCCTAAGTTTATGATTGTAAAAGCTATTCATTAGTACTGTTCACAAACCTTGGCAAACCTAAGATAATCTAATTAGTTAAACAGTTTGTTACTGGGTGCTGGTGGCTCATTCCTATAATCCTAATTACTCAGGAGGCTGAGATTTGAGGATTATGTTTTAAAGCCAGCCTGAACCAGAAAATCCATGAAACTAACAACTAAAAAGCTGCAGGTGGAGCTGTTGATCAAGTGGTAGAGTGCTAGCCTTGAGTGAAAAAGCTAGCTAAGGAGGATAGTACCTTGGCTCTAAGTTCAAACCCCAGTACCGGCACACACACAAAGAAGAAAAGAATGTAATCCTGCAGTTCAGAGATGACTATTCTTAAGCTTTTGGTGGATTGTTTCGGCCCCTTTTCTATGTAAGAATTATATGTTTTTATATCATTAATGTGATACAATGCAGTTTTACATATACTATTATTTAATTTTACATGTGCCACTAAAGCCATTTTAAAAGGTTATGTTTGTTATTAGCTGTAAGTTAATTTATTCTTTAATTTCTTTAACAATCCATTGTTATGATTATTAAAAATTTCCCTAACATTTCATTATTCCACACTATGTCACAGTGGAATGTTGAGTACAAAAGTCTTTTAAGTTTCTGATTCTTACCTTATTAAAAAATCCCTGATGTGAAATTACTGAGTAAAATATTACAGCCATTTTATAAAATGCCATAACAGTAAGAATTACATAAATGGATCTGCTGTTGTTAACTAGACAAATCACACTTGAGTAGTAATTTCAATCTCACTATTTATAATTTAAAAAAAACAACCCTATTTTCTGACTGGGAGAGTGTGATGGAAGGGGTGACATTGTCCAAAAAGAAATGTACTCCTTAGCTGACTTATGTAATTATAACCCCTTTGCATATCACCTTTATTATAACAATTAATAAATTTAAACAAGAAAATTGTATTTTCTTTTATCTTCTTTTTGGGTCCTGGGGATTGAGCCCAGGATGTTACACTTGCTAGGCAAATGTTTTACCACAACTTTCTAAATTAATAACCCTAAGTTCAAGTAGCTAGTATTATAGGTGTGTGCTAATAGCACCTGGTTCTCTTCATATTTTTCACGTAAAAAATGTAGTGACCATCACCTGCGTCATAACTCTTGAAATCCTCTAGTAAAATGCCTTCACAAAGCCTTTCATGTTTGTGAGTCAGGCTTGAACTCATGGCCTAGGCACTGTCCCTGAGCTTCTTTGCTCAAGGCTAGTACTCTTCCACTTGAGCCACAACTCCATTTCTGACTTTTTGATGGTTAATTAGAGATCAGAGTCTCACAGACTTTCCTACTCATGCTGGCTTCAAACTATGATCCTCAGATCTCAGCCTCCTGAGTAGCTAGGCTTATAGGCATGAGCCATCGACACTTGCTTTAATAACTACTTTAAGCTCAATAGGAACTTAATTCCCTCCTTTGTGAATTATTTCATGTACTTTTCCTGTTTATTATGTCTAATTGTTCTTTAAAATCTTTTTTCCCCCACATTATTTTATGTATATTAAGCTTTAATTAGAGATATGTTTTGTTCTAGATTGTTTTAGATTCAATTTGCTTCTGTTAGTTTTGTTTTCTCATTTGGCTGATTATAAATGTATTAACCATTATTGTTAAAATACCAAACATATTTTAATATTTAAAGAAGATAATGAAAAACCAAGTGTATTCTTTCTGTGTTTCAGAGACAGAAAAAAAATACTGGAACTAAATCCTAGTTTAGTTCTGGTAGGTAGGAGTTAAGTATAGGAAGTTGAGACCATATCTTTTGGAATGTGGTAAGCTAAGTCTTCCCTGATCAATATGCTTCAAATAAAGACCCAAGACTATATGTGTTATCCTCCCCACGGAATTTTGCCCCTAATGTTGTAGAGATGAGAGTAATCAAATTAGCTATAACTATCAGGGAACCTCCTGATGTTGGTGGTAAAAATAGTAAACATTTACCCAATTTTACTGTCAGGCACTGAAATCAGGATTCATTCAATCTTCACAATTCTGTGAAATACATATTATTATTCTCTTTATCTTATAGATGGGGAAACTGAGGCATAGCTGGAGCATCAAAGAAATCTCAGGGACTGAACTGTTCAGATACAAATCTGAAAACAGGCCAAACATAATGATCATCGCACTTTAGAGATTATTTTTTATTTAGACAGATGCTGCTTGGTGATAGAGGTAGAACAGTACATAGAGAGCTGAGGCATCTGGTGAGGAAAGATAAATATTGGTGAAAATGTGGTGTGGGAGGTGAAAATGATTAGAATATGCAGTATGAGATTCTGAGACAAAACTTTATCCTTATTGTTCAGATCATTGTTTCTGAATGAGAGTAGTTACTAGTTAAAGTATAAGATGAGAAATAATTACAGTTTAACAATTAAAAGTAAATTGGCTTGAGCGCCAGTTATAGAGGTTGAATCTCAGAGCCTGGGTACTGGTCCAAAGCCAGAAGTGGAGCTTTTGCTCAAGTGGTGGAGCTTTGAAGCAAAGATGCTCAAGGACAGTGCACAGGCCCTGAGTTCAAGTTCCAGAACTGGCACAGAAACAAAGCCAAAAACAAAAGAACCCCAAAGCAAGCAAACTTATCCAAGAAAAAAAAATCAAGACAAG